AGCAATTCCTATCCACAGTCGCCTAGTAGCTACTATGTCACAGAATGGCATGAATATAACAAGAAGGGGCTCTTTCTGCCAGAGAACAAGTTTGCGTCTCAGATCACTAAACATATCGTTCCCCCCTACCTATCGCACTTCAGCATCCTCTGTCCCACCTTGGCTGATCAACTTACCTGACATCAATACCAGGATGACAAAGCTTAACAAGCACGATGTACCTCACGAACTAATAAGACAGCGCTTCAATCAGCTTATGCAGGAACATTTGGAACACCAAAAAATTTACACAGATGCAGCTAAAGTAAACTACAAAACAGGCGCAGCAGTCATCACACCGACCACTATTATTGCTACGAGATTACCAGATGAAGCTACAATTTGCACGGGTGAACTTCATGCTATAATGGAAGCTCTCCAACATATCACAGAGAAGGCAGCTACAAACTGGGTAATAATATCCGATTCACTGAGCTCACTCACAATGATTGGACGAGTTTACGTGAGTAACCCGTTGGTGATCAGTATCAAGGAGCATTTACATCGATTACATACGGAAGGCAAAAAGGTTAACTTCATTTGGGCTCCATCCCACGTTGGCATCAGGGGTAATGAGGAGGCAGACCAAAAAGCAAAAATCGCAGCGCAAGGAGAACTATCAGCAACAACAAAAATACCATTCTCGGATACAAAAACTTACTTCACTTATAGAATATATCAAGAATGGAACAGTGAATGGAGAAATAAAAATTCTAAGCTCTTAGAGCTCAAATCATCTATGGGGCCATGGCGCTGTATTACCCAGAATCGAAGACATCAAATAGTTATAACCAGACTACGACTCGGACACACCCAGCTCACTCATCGGCACCTTTTCAATAGAGAACAACCACCAACCTGTGACATTTGTGAAGAAACACTCACCGTTAAACATATCTTAGTGGAGTGCCCACTACTGGAAAGTGAAAGACTTCAACATAATATTAACGGAACTCTAGCGGATATTATAGGGGACAAATGTGACATTAACCAACTACTTATGTATTTAAGAAAAATTAATGTTCTACATAAGATTTAATCACATCCACCGCTAATAACCTGTAAAGGTTGATGCGGTTATTTCTTTGAATAAAAAAAAAAAAAAAAAAAAAAAAAAAGTAAGGTATTCCCCAAATTTAAAGGCAAAAATAAAATGTACGCAACCTGTCGAAACCTTCACGTTCGCGGGGCGAATAGGACGCTTTGGTATGAATAAACAGGCGAAACAGATTGCGAATCTCGTTCTGAATTTCGTTGCGAATACTTCGCCGCGATTATTTCGCGCCGGTTTGTGGGACGCTTTATTCTTATAGGACGCTATTTTTTTGCAATTATCTACCACCCAAAGTAATAGTTCTACGACAATGTCTCGTATCTTTTTGATTCTGTCGTCACCAAATCATAGTTCTCCCAAATAAATCTATTATAGCAATTCATTCAAGGTTAAACAAGAAAGTTATTTCCACGTCACCCATAAAAATTGCAACTTCAGATTTCTTGAAGAAATGTCAAAGAGGTCTGTGTCTTTCATTGGCCCAGCCCTTCAAATATGAGTAGATGTGGAAAAGCAACCTAAGGTCTCCTTTACAAACTTCCCTCCTGAAAGACGCTACTAAATTATCAGATATTCTTATATAAAAATTTTCCATCTTCAAGACTGCGTATGGTATGCAAAAAGGCATTATTAATCGCGCCTCATATCTCGCGAACTATTCGGAAAATAAATCGAGAAGCTGGAGAGCGATCCAGTGGAAAGCACTCCGCGTTCCAGTGGCCCCTTAAACATGATTTTCTGGATGAGGAAAATTAGGTCAAAATACCCTGCCGTGAACGATATTTCACAAGATTCCCCGTGAAGATGTCACACCTGCTCAAATATCATAATAGCACAGGAAAAGCTGCAAAATGGTGAGGTGTCAGTTAGGGAATCATCAAATGCGTTACGCCATGTTTACACCGTAGATAGCCAAAGGCTTATATCGTCGGGTTACCCCAAATACCAGATCACTCACAAAATAAACTTTTAGAAACCGACATCCATATGTTTGAAAACCCTTGATATATCGGCAGAGTATCATGCAAAAAAACCTGAAAAACGTAAAGAAACAACAAAACCTCATCTTGCGGGCTACGTAGTTATTCGTAAGGAAATAGTTCATTCCACGTTTGTTCGCTATGATCGCTGTGATAGTCCATCTATGAATTAATGACTCAAAGACACAACACGCTCAAGTATACATTGTTGGTTACAGAAAGGCGAGTGAATATGTTTTGTCAAGCTGAGTAGTCTGTATCTCTGAGAAGATGTGAAAGAAGGAAAGGTGGCTGGCTGAGTAGCAAAATCGCATCTGGATGATTATCTGTACTGGTCAGCATGTGTATAAAGTCAGTAATGTCATCCCTGAAGCAGCTTTTACATCACATCAGAGCCAAACATTGATAACAGAAGCTTCATGACGTTTAGGCAACAAGTACAACTACAAAACGACTATACAACTTAGCTAGTGCTAAATAACATCTTGTAGAAAAACCTACATAATATCACAAATAGCCAATACAACAGGGAACAGTTGGAATTTCTCATTCCTCTCGAAGTGTTGACAGTTTCAAGTTACAGCGGGAGTGGTTAGATGGCGCATGTTGCCCAAAATGTTTCCTTTGACCTGCTTGATAAACCTAGCTGCCTTCTTTGAATCTGAAATAAAGAGAACGATCATTTTTAGTGTGTAACAGTAACTTCGTCCGAGACTCCCGGGCCCCTCAATGTCGTGCCTTGAATATATATTTAGATCTTCAGTCTAATGCTCTAATTTCTGGATTGGCCCGAGACCACTCGAATTTCAGCTTCTGTTACCTTTTACTGTCTTCCTATGGGAGGTAGACTCACGTAGAACCTGACATAAGTAATTAGAATCATGACTCATTGAAACACTCACTTTGCGCAGAACGTTGCCTCTTCTGTTCTCCAAGTGCTCCAGGGAACGTGGTGAACGCCCGAACGAACACTTTCGGAACCGTCGAACTCCGTTAGCTTCAGTTAATAAGTTTAATGAAACTCAAGTTAGAGGAGGCCAATTCTTTTATTATTAATATTAAATCACAAACTCGAACTTGTGCTTTTCCAGCAATGACAAGAATCATTAACGCCGTATAACTAACAGACTGGGGAAAAGATCACTGGAGGAGTGAACTACGGCTAAGTTAAAAGGAACGGTGACAACTAAATTACAATAATTTCATGTTTGAACCTAATGGCAAAATTAAACTTAAGAATCTCAACTTTAGAGTGCTAATTAATCAGGCTAGTTCCTAGAATCCTTAGTGGACTAGGTGTTAATATAGCTTTAGCCAGAAGGGCTAAAGGGGGAAAAGCCTCCTTTTGGTACTTGAAGTGCTTACTGATTGGAACACAACTTGACACAATTCAACAACGCAACACTTATTAACAGCCACCAACTGAGGGAAAATCGAAGCAACTTTGTTAACCGTACAAATCAAAGATGAGAGAAGAACTGAAGTTTTTAGTTTCAAAACTGTCGGAGGTCAGTTGCGGATTTTCCCTTCCATCAGAAGGCTGGTCACTTTTACTTAGAAGTTCAACCCGTGTCTCTTCATTGGTCGATCAGTTTACAACCCTTGGAATGGCCGTCTGGTTCTCTAAAGATAGAGACGAACCTGACCAATGATTGTTAGACTTAATCTTTGAACACAAAATGACCTTAAACTCTATTGGTTAATTACGTTCCCTTGTCCCACCTCAAGGAGTGGCGTCAGCATACAGTCATCCCTTAAGTTAACACGACACGCCCCCTTCAGTGGCGTCTCGTGGCTCTATTTGCTTAGGGGCGGATCCCGCAATTTTCGATAATTTCAATGGATTGGGAATTCCTACAATGCTGAGGCCACAGTTCGAGATGTCCTCTTAAATAATTATAAAAATTTTTTACATAGCATTTAGGTGAAACTAACGGTGACTTTCTTCTGGAATTTTAACATATTTTAACAAGATTAGCTTTGTTGGAACTACGCAGTCTTTCGTTAGTTTCACCTGCCCCTCTCAATGATAATTTCCAAGCCGCATCTGTCAACGCGTACGTTGACAGAAGGTAGAATCGTTTCCAGTCTGGCGCACCTTCTCCTATCAGCTAGGGGAAAATTCTACTAAAACCTAGCTGTTTGCCTCCTCTTTTTTCATCATATTTTCCCACAATCGTGACAACTTAGTAATATGCTAGCCTTCGGAAGTCTTAGATATTCCATGATACGCCTCTGACGCTTGACCGTTCAGCGCCCGGGGTAGCTTCTGACATTTGCTACCCAAATGGTTGAGTTTCAAGTTTAACCGAGTTCCTTCGGTTGTAAGCTTTATGGTTATAGCATCCAAATGTTATTTCAGAATACATCTCCAAACCATGTTTTTGTCCCAGCATATTTGAAAAGGCCCAACTTTATAACATCCGGTTCTATTATCTATTTCTTCGAATTATGAATTTGGTTTCCCTCGGCGTTCGCTGGGTGGTTTGCAGATGCGAGTGTTTGTTCCGTCCTTAGTTTTTATGTTTATCTTTATTTCAATGAATTTAAAATGATAACTTGGTCGGCTACATTAACTTTATAGCATCCGGTTCTATTATCTATTTTCTTCGAATTATGAATTTGGTTTCCCTCGGCGTTCGCCGGGTGGTTTGCAGATGCGAGTGTTCGTTCTGTTTGTTTGTTTTTTATTCCATGGATGCGACGAATTTCTACAAGGGCAGGCGGCGTGACAGATTATTTCAACGAACTTAATATTGATAGCTACATTGCTACATTACCCCCCCCTTAGACGGAACAATTTTTTTTCGGATCATGGAACAAATAAAATTGTTCGGAAGGCATAGCTTAACAATAGGATAAATGGAATAATAGTTAAAATAAAGAAAAAATATGAAACAGAAAAGTAAGGAAGATTTTCTTGTGACCTATTGATACGCCACTGCGTGTGGATCCAGGCACGTGCTATCCTTGCAGGGCCTCAGTTGTGGATAGCCCGGAGCCGTGGGTACCGACTCTACTTGGATGGCGACGTCCACCTCCGTTGTGGTCTCGGCATTACTCTGGTGGTTGATTTCTTGAAGTTCGAACTGCCCTTCTCGCTGTGTGTGTAGGTGGTACAGATAACGGTGAGCTAGAGCCTGCCATAAACTAGCCCATAGGTAGCGTCTCCTCCTCGGATGGTTCCTCGCTGCGTTTCGGAGTGTGAAATAGTTCGCGATCACACTGGCGACATAGCTGGCAATACATAGCATGGTGTATAGGAATGCACACACCGAGAAGATGTTGCCCATACGTGATAGGAACCCCCATACATGTTCCGCCGCAGTAATGGCGATGTTCTTGAACTCTTCTCTCGTAAAGAGTCCTGGCATGTAGTAGCGGTTGGTTGTATTTTTTCTTCCGGCGAGGCGCCTTGCCATCTCGTTCGCTACAGCCTCACGTTCATTCGGGAACAATAGGGCTTGTTGAAAGGTGTCCATTTCCTCTTTTGTGTAGAGACCATGGGAGGAAATAGGCGATATCTTCGTTAGAGTGATGGTGTCCTTTTCTTCGTTCGCGTCCAACTCCATTACTGACGATGTCCTCTTCAACGCCGGCGAGATCTCGATCCAGGTCCCTTCAAGTTGGAAGTTGGCTGGTAGGAGAGGTTGGCAGTCTACTTCTTTACCATGTTGGACGAGTATGTGACTAATGGGCATCCGGTACCATGTCTCGTTGTTGTATGTCACGGGTAGTTCTTGGTAGCATTTTTGGGATTTTCGTATTTCTACCACTATAGGTTTGCATTTAGCGATGTATAGGACCTCTCCCATTACTCGTCCTACGTATCCTGTAGTTTCCTTGATCAGGTTGCCTATCAGATCTGGAGCTTGAAGTGCCATCGTGATGCGGTTTTGAAGGATCTTCTCTCGGAGTTGACATCTTTTTACAATGGCGTCATAGACTATATCAGCCATGTAGCGTTTGACTGCAATCTCTAAGTATAGTAGCTTACTTAGAACGTGCGCCATCATGTCGGTATTCTGGGCTATCTTCGTTGATTTCCGGAAGTAGAATCCTATGGAGTCCCGGAAAATCACTAGCAGGCGGTTTTGTTCTGTTTGCCAGGCGTGTTGATGGCAAAGGTCTTCTGGCTTCGTCAGCTTCAGGGCAAATACTGTGTCGTCCGTCTCCACAATCACGTACTGGATCTGTGGATCTTTACGTAAGGTGAGAAGGGTGGCATTTCCTTCGTATAATACGTCAACTCCTTTGTTGGTGCACTGGTCTTCGTAGTGGGACTCCCAAAGTGCGATTCCGGATAAATCGTCGAAACAGGCGCCATCATTGAATGGGCAGATGGTGCCGCTCCTCAGGTGGATGGTGTTTAGCTCCACATTGGCAACTGTGTCGTAGTCAGACAGCTTGATGGTGATAGCTCCTGACACGACTACGTTTTTGTAGACAACCTCTCCTACTGTGAAGGTCACTCCCTCACAGCGGCCTTCTGTGTCTAGTTGTCCTTGCAGGGTTGTGGAAATCTCCGTCGTTCCATTTTTCGTGAGCTGGGACACCATACCAGCTCCGATTGCTCTCAGGTCCAAGTGTTGGAATCTCTGCGCTTTTCTGCATTCGGAGTCTGACAGATCCAGGACATACTTTCCTAGGCCCCCTGCGACTGTGCTGGAGTGCGAGTGCATCCCGCAATGCTGGATAGTTTGTTGCACGGTGATCAGGCAGGTGTATACGTGGACCCCCACGTATTGGCGTTTCTGGACCAGCTGGATGTCCCATGGTTTGGTTTCCTCTGCCTTCCTCGGGTCCAGACATGGCTTCACATTCAACAGCGAGACTTTCGTGAGCTCCACGGAGTCGTCCTTGCAGTCGTAGGCGATGATGTCCGCCTCTAACAGCTGCATGCTAGCTGCAAGGATGACGAGTAGCCCGAACATCTGAAAAATAAGAACGTTTAGTAGTCGAAGTGACTATACATGGCTCTGGGCGTTGCGAAGTGGCTGTGGTATTAAAAGCGGTGATCAGTAACCCAAGGTAAATCTGGTACTGGCCCTTGACTCCTGGTATGTCTTCTTGCTAGTTCCTGATGAGTTGGTTGTCCGGTGGGTTCTTCTTCTGCCGGTAATAATTCTGTCTCCAGATCTCGATCCTCTTCTCTTTTGTGGTCGATAGGGCTTGGAGGAGTGTCTCCGTCCTCATCTTCTTTGTTCTTTGCAATCCTCCTAGGCGAGATGGACGTCTCGATGCTACCCAATTTGCCGTCTTCTTCTACGCACTCCTCTTCGCTGGGAGAACTGGGTGTCGCGTAGAAACTAGTTTCGTCCACGGGAAGGTATGACGTGGACTCGGTGCTTCCTGACGAATTTTCTTCTCTTATCGACTCTCCTGCGGATCCTGCTACTTCCGCAAGGGCCGGTGGGTCCGCCCAAGCATCACCTACATAGGTGTCATTAAGAGGAATGGGGCTAACTACAGGTGAAGGAGGATTGGACAAGTAAGGATCAGCCACTTCGTTACCTGTATTGTTTTGCGTTACCCGTCCTTGTCCTCGATAAATTCCGATTCCGATTGGTGGTATATTTTCTGTCAGTCGGAACTTTATGGGTACATTTCCCAGTTGGTTTCCTGGATCTTCTGTGGCCAGACATTTTTTCAACCGGTTGACATGAACCTTCTGTTCCTTAACCCCATGTATCTCCCTTATCGTGGCTGTCACTTTCCGTAGATCGATTATCCTGTACGGTCCTGTCCACTTCTTGGCTAGTTTACTACTAATCCCGACCTTATCCGCGGGATCCCAAAGATATACCCGATCTCCTCTCTGGAGTTTTACCTCTTCAGCTTTCTTATTGAATTGAGTGTGTGTTCGTTCCGTGCTTCTCTTTAGATTGTCGAGAGCATTTCTGTGAGCAATCTTCATACGCTGTTCTACGATCACCACTGACGCGCTGAAGGGAGATACCGAGGTTTTGATTATTCCGTCTTCTAACATCTCGTCGACTTGTTTTCTTACTATCTGTTGTAACTTAAATGGTACGCGATAAGGTGGCTTATAAACTGGTGGGTTGTTTCCTATATCAATTCTATGCTTGACTAGGGACGTTGCTTTTAAAGGTTTTCCTTTCTCGGCAAAAATATCTTTAAACTCCTCCAGAAGCTCCTGGATTTCTATATACTGGCACTCTTTACCCTTTAGGCAATTGTCCATTGACGTTCCGTTGTCGTCTTTAAAACCTATTGCTGAAACTTTACTGCTGCAGTTAATTGTATTGACTTGCGATGAAAGAAGATTTTGGCTGATCTCTTCCGTGCTGGCGCTCATCAGGATCGAAATGGGTGTGTTTTTCCGAATTGTCTGAGTCGACGGACAAACGTTGATTATTCTAATAGCGATTGTCCGGCGACTTCTCCGTATGTCATTTGGTATGTCTACCAGAGTTCTGGCTACGCAAATCCCTGGGGCGACGTGTAGGGGTTCGCAGACCATAGTACCCGGTGGGTGTCGACTGTCCACCGGAATACTAAGGTCGCTCCCGTGAAAAGCTGGTATTTCTATTGTTTCAGACAATCTGAGTAGACTTGGTCCCTTGGTGTTGTAGGCTTCCTCCAAGCTAGATTTCTGAAATTCTATTGTTCTTTTTGGATTTGATTGTGAGGCAGAGCTGGTGGCGGCATTGGACTTCGAAAAGGTTGGATCCGTTGTCTGTTGGGCCAAGACGTCAAGAGAAGTCGTGCTTGACTCCTGGTGACCCGTAGGAAGGTGAGTACTCGTACCCCTCGTTGCAACTGACTTACTCTTTTTCGCGGGGATCGCCGCACCCGTACCCTGGGAATCCGCGTTTTCGCAGGACTGCAGTTGTCGCCTATTCACTACAGGCACCTTAGTAACCTGTGTGGGGTTGCGCAAATGCGTCTCTATGGGTACAATTTTTTGAAAGGTACTTCCATAGCTGACAGTGTCAGCCTCGGCCCTAAGACTCCTTTTCTCAATTTCCTTTGCGTCCGCGGAAATCAAGCCAGATTCTTCTTGTAATCCGCGACAGCTAGGAGCCTCGGTAGCTGGCTTATTCATCCAAAGGGGGTGCATAACTTTTAGGGGTAAAATCGTCCCATATAACCTATCGTTAATCCACCATTAAAATCGAGGATAGGTCGATGGTGATCCAAAAATCGATGCCTAATAGTCCGTCGGCTGGGAAATTCAGATCATTGTTGCAGATGACGAATTAGCATTCCATTTCTATACATCCGAGGTTGAATCGTACTCTCGCTGATCCTCCTTTCTGGATAACTTTTCCGGATATGTCCGTGATGATTCTATGATAGTCCGGGGCAACTGGTAAATTTAAGCGCTTAATAACTCCAGACTTTACTAAGCTAACGGCGACTATCGATTTTTTAATATCTGCTAACACCGACCTATATAATATATATTTCTCTTTCCTTAAATGATTTGCCTTAACCCCGATTATCTAAGCAACTCCCTAATGTTCCTCTTATTTTCTAATCTAACTCCCACGAGGGCCACTAATCGCTCGTTCTATGCAATTTTATAAGTACGACGTGACGGAATGACCACCAATTTCGGATTTTTATTTATTTGTTTTTTTTCAACCTATACTAGTGAAGAAACTATCAAAGAAACTCGAAACGCTCCTCCGCTTTCCGTGGTCGGGACCGGAAACTATAGAATGCTAACACAGAACGACTTATAAAGTCATCGAACAGGTCCTGGCTCCTTCCTAGAGTGAATGTTTACGATAACTTATTAAACCTAAACTTAATTTTTTTTTTTTTTTTTTTTTGGCTCCGACTAGGTAAGTTCACCCTTTTCTTTAATGTGGATAACAAAACCTATAAAATATGGATAATAACTATTCCAATGACTAATTATCCTTCTCCTTTGCTGAAAGAAATAAAACGACTCTTGGAATAAGCTGTAGGAAAATTATTCAAGTAAAACGAATAACTAAAGCTAAATCACTTGTTAATGCTGCAAGTAAGAACTTATTTCCAAAGAATTAGTTTATCAACTAGATTCACGCTGAAAGAAAATGGTGGTTAAAGCTGTGGACAAAATTGATATTAATTTGTTCCTGAAAGGTTTCTTAAGTAACTTTATTAATATTAATTTAATTCTATCAAAGTAATTCCTTGTCCTACTATTCGCTGAAATTAGATAGATACTAGCTGAAAATAATCTTAACTAGTCAAGTGATTCCCTATCAAAGAATTTTCTGAAAATAAAGGCTGCTTATAGCTGAAAACAAAGTTTACTGTTAACTGGTTAGAGTAATTCCTAGTCTAATTATTTGCTGCAAAGAGACAGTAGTTATAGCTATGAACAAAATCTTATATTATTAACTTATGTATAGAGTGAATATATTACTTCTCAGTTCACACGGAATTTGGTTGAAGCTGTGAAAAGATGTAACATTAGCTTAATTCTACGTAAAGTTGCTGAAACAAAATTTATGTTATGCTAAACACCAATCCCAAGTTTACTGAAAAGAAATTACGATTAGTTGTGTTACCTCGAGTATACCCAATTTACTTTCAAAACTTGTGACAAAACTCTTTTGTTCGTCACTCGAGTTGCCAATTCTGTCACGTGACAGATGCTTCAAGACCACTAGAATTGGCCTCGCAGCTCTGCTGATGAAGTCTTCGCCTCAGATCTCTTCTTTGCGCGGCTCGGCATGTTGGGAGAATTGTCTGTTCACAACTCTCACCCGTTGGCACTAGCATGTACTGTCTGGTGGCGAAAATCTAGCTAACTTAGTTAAACCTTCCCTAAGGATTTTTAATTCCCTGAAGTTTTCAAGCAACGAGTTGAATAGGCCAAAACTGAATTTGTTTCGAATCGAGATATCTAATTTATTCTGAACGTTCTTAGCGCTGCTTAATTCCATTCGATTTCAATTCATAATTCTGAGACTCAGTTCTAAAAGAAGAAACAAATCTATGATGGAGGTTTTTGTGTTTAAATCCATTTTATTAGATGACTGGGTCTGTACTAAGTACTCTTGTGTCATTTAATGCACCTTTTGAGGTCGAGTGGGTTTATGAGCCTTACGCGAATCTTCGAGAATTGTCTAATTCGCCACCCTACGTATGTACATATCTACACTTACATACTTCCTTAACTAATGCTGGCCAGCTCACTCATTCTTGCATACAGGGCGAATTAAGGCAAATCTCGGTACACTTGACCTCGACTACAACAGGTAGTCAGTACCTGGCGAACCGCAATTTTCAGCGCCCTTTCGAGAAGTACCTGTAGAGCTTGCGCGTGCCCAGGCGCGTGGCCCTACCTGCCGCAGGTTCAATTATGGGTTCACTTGACCCCTTTCAGTTTCCTTGGAAGGATGCAATAAATGACAGGTACCCGACCTTTGATAGACTTGTATGGCGGTATCGTCTGGTACAATTCGTTAAATTCACAGGATTTTACTCTCCTTTAGGCTTATGAATCTGGCGATTATCAACTATTCTATTGCCTCAAGATTTTTGCTATTTCACCGAACTTGTGTCTTGGTAGTTTACAAAGCACGTTGAAAATCTTTCTTGATCATATTTTAGTAGGCACTTCCCTATGCATGATCGTTAGTTCTAACAAATTAAGCAAATGTAGTGGGTGTAAGTCAGCACTTATGGACTATATTTACATAATTAGCTAATTACATTGACTGTTACCCATAAAATCAGACCAATTCCATCAGAGGCTGTCTGAGAATTTAAGATGTAATTACTCGTAATTATGACTATACAATTGACTTTGTGTACCATGATTTCATCTTATTAATTTAATTGTTCGCACGTATTTTACAAACAAGTGGCTTTACTCTGTCAGATACCTTCAATATATGTACTATCATCGGTCTTAATTAAATCTCTCTTTTGTTGTCACCTTACAGAGACATATTTCTTCAATTAA